GGTGGTGAAGCAGCAGGGGTGAAGGGGAGCGCGGTTCCCGTCCGCCGCATCCCTGCGGACACGGAAAAATGCGTTTCGGGGAAGGGGGCGAAAAACCGTATAACGGAGAAGCGCGTGTCCCCGGATATGTTTGCCGTTAAGGTGATGAACTGACGTTTTCCTGGAAAGATATCTGAGGGCATGGATAGAGGCTGACTCAGGTGGGGTGCTGGCAAATAAGGTTGTGTAGTGTTTGCCTTCTGCCCTCTTCACTAAAGCGGAACCATGTTAGACCGTCCCTACAGCGAGGGGAAGGCAGCACGTATTTAATCAGCTGCCTGGTATGTGATTTTAAAAAAAAAAATTGGCTGAACATAATACTTAGAGAGAGAGAAAGGGAGAATACAGTCCTTCAGTGACCGACCTCAGAGATGCTCTTATGCTGCCGGTAGCATACTTTGGCTGTTTTAAATGTGGTCATGTTCTGTTTGGGTCAAATTCTGATGCAATTTGTGTCTTATGAGTTCAATTGTTTGATTATTTTTCTTCCCCGTGTTCTTCCAGCATCTCCCTCACCAGCCAAGCAACGAGCAAAAATGGATGACATTGTGGTAGTAGCCCCAGGAACACAGTCCTCCCGTAACGTGAGCAATGATCCAGATGTCATTAAGCTGCAGGAGATCCCAACTTTCCAGCCCCTTTTGAAAGGTAAACGATTCTTCTTCCTCTGGTTTTACTGGCCCATTTTCCTGTCTGATGGAGCATGTGCTTTGTGTATTCTGAGCTCCCAACTGAAGTTCGTGTGTCTGTCCATCTTTTTGCTCCTGCCATGACTGTTTTAAACCTTACTTCCTTTTGTTTTTATGTAATTATGCCTGGCCTTCTCGATGGTGCGTGAACTAGTCTAGTGGTGTGCTGGTAATGCTCTCAGAGGTAGCTGCGTTTACCGTGGGGTTGGATCAGCCCCAAGCGTGCCAGTTTGCCCTGCACCACTGGTGTGAAAGGCTGCTGATGAGACATGTGCTGTGTTACATCTCAGTGTACAATGGGGATGCGGTCTCCAGTTTTGGTCTAGGCTCTCCAAAACCTCTGTATGTTACTACCTCAGAGTCGTGACTGTGTGTGTATGAATTCACTTAGGCTTGAAATCAAGATTTATTGTTGTGGTTTCTGACTTGCAACGGTTTCTATTCTTATTTTGGAAGAAGAAAAAAAAATGAGACTTGGGTGGGGGAGCATCCTCAAGCCCCATGTTGACAACCTCCCTTTCTGTCAGTGGACCTCTTAAATTTCCACTAGGTGTCTCTTGTTTTTTCTGTCTATGTTTCTTTCTTTTTCTTTCTTTTCCTCCCTGTTTTTATTCTTTATTCTCTGCTCCATCTGTTGTCCCTCCTGTTCTGTTCCAAGTGAAGTGAAGCTTTAAATCACGGTTGCCTAGCCTACAGTGTACCATAATCACTCATGCACACTGTGGCCTGGCTCTAGCTCCCTCTTTTCTGGAGACCGTGTAGCCTCTTTCTTATTTGGAAGTCTCTTGAGGGGAAGATGTCTGGAGCAGCCTGCAGGAATTGCTATGATAGCAGCAGTGCGCTCCTGACCTCCTCCTCTCCCTGGAGCAGTGTGGATCTGCACGCTTATATGCATATGCTATGTAACAGGCATTCAGTGAGCCAATGCTTTCTAAAGGTTTAAGGCCTACCGCATGTACGTACGTTAGCTGTAGCACTCGCGCATGCCTTATGGGCCTGCTGCTCCAGCGAGGAGAGGGAGCTGGGATGTTTAGCTCTCCCCTGCTGCTAGAAGAAATTATATGGGCTTATGCTACCGAGGGGTTGGGTGCTAGTGCTTGGGGTGTCACTGATCCATGCATGGCTGGGAAGAAGGTGCGGCAGCCACTTTGCCTTGTGTGCGTCACTAGGCATGGTGTAATGTCCCTTTTTAGACAAGGGCTCTTTTTTCTTTTTTTTTTTTTTTTTTTATACTGTGCCTATAGCATAAGGACCCTGGAACATGACTAGAACTTGTAGGCAGTATGAAAGACTAATGGGCCAAATAACTGGCATTTTATTAAGTACAGCCAGACAGGGATTTAGAGCCTTGTAGCACTGACAGTACTGTTTGTACAGAGCTGGGGTGGGGGGGAGATGGGAGAGATGAAGGACTTGGGGAGTGGGAAGGAGAGGAACTGTGTTAGGAGAAAGGCATAAATCTGGATGTATTTGGGGCTGGTACTGGTGTCCCCCTTGACAAAGGAGTGCGTGTGTTACTTGTAGAGGTTGTTGCAACGTTGCAGTCTGAAAAGAAAGAAAAAAAAATCTTATTTGATTTATTCAAGACACTACTTCTACCATTTTAAATCTGACTGCAAGACTGCTGAGGTTTGCATGACGTTCATGTCAGCAGCAGACTGGGGCATAAACCGTGGGCAGAACTTGCTTTTGTCAGAATTTGAATGCACGAGGCGGGGAACAGAAGCAGGAGCTCACCAGTGGTGGTCGGGAGTGTAAATACTACAACCCAAACCCAAAGGAAATGAGGGAGTTCTAGCATTATCAGTGCAAGGTTAAGTGCTGAAGTGGAAGTGTCTAAGCCTCTGTGGACCTCGGCCCAGTTTCGGTAGTCAGGAGGATGCTGTGTTAGCTACATATGCCCATGATACAGGCAATTCCTGGTGTCATAGCTAAGAAGTTCTGTCAGAACTGAAGTCAGCTGAGTCCTGGGAGGATTTGTTATCTGGGATTGTATGCCCATGAGAGCTGGTGAGGATGAAGATGACAGTGAGGGAATGGAAAAGAGCAGTGGTGCCGGTGAGTGGAAGAGGAAGCAGCCATGAATGGTGCACAGCAGAGGTAGGAGGCAGTGATTCCAGGCTAGGAATTAGATGGCATCTGCGAGACCAAATTTAGAAGTTTCATTAACAGCCAGCACAGAGATTTGTTGTGTATGTGAAAGAGTGATGAAGAGTTTCAGTTCCACCCAGCCTCTAATTGTGGTGAGCCAAACCTCTGTTGCCCAAGAGCTGCAGAAGTCCTGGGAAGCAGGACTGGTAATAGCTCCCAGCTGCAGTGTTCCTGCATGGGTGATTGAAAAGTGAGGTTAAAGGGCTTGAGATGGGAAGTGAGGAAGAAGAGGGTAGCGGCAACCTTGTGGCTGAGATAGTCAGGCTGGGAGGCACTGGCTTAGATCACGAGTCCAGGCCCTTTAACTCCTAAATATGCATTTAAGTTGTTTGAGGGGAAGTCACTGAGTTGTTTTTGATGGTCTTATTTCATACCTGAGGCAGTGTAGCAGTGTATGGGTGATAGAAAGCTGCTTTTCTATTTCTGGCACTTGCGCTAATAGGAGTCTCCTTCCCTGTAAATCTCTTGGGATGTGATGACACCTGGTGACTGCTGGAGGGTATTGCATTCTCAGTTGCATTGACTGTGTGTGGACTGTTTCCTCAGCCCCAAATGCAGGGGTAAACCCTGCTTGCTCCACAAGACTATGATACGTAATGTTTACTACAGAAAGAAGCATGGTCTGTGGAGTGCTTTGAGTCTTGAGGGACCCCGGATCTGCCACAGTCCTGCTTGAGCAAAAGATGTTGTCCAGTTTTGGACTGATCTCTTCTCTGTATTCTTCACAGGTTCCTGGAATGGATAAAGAAAGATACTAGAGATCTTTTTTTTTAAGGAGTTAATCCTAAAAACTTGTATTTCATGATCTACTGGCTTGAAGAGCTCAAGTCATGAACTCATAACCCATGTGGACTTCGTTAGTCTTCAAGTTCTTCTTGGCCAAGCCAAGGGAATTTGCTTTAGTTTTCAATCTCAGAAGAAGCCTAATGATTGAGTTGATGGAATTGGGAGGCATATGGTCGTGAAGGGATCTCAGGAGCCAAAGCGTGTAAGAGCCGAAGCCCTGCTGTCTTCTAGCCGTTTTGAGTTGAGCTTTGTGTGATAAGTGAAGCTGGCGGTTTTTACTGCTGCACCATGTAAGAAAATGTCAGTGTCATGTCCGTTGCATCTTCCATGTTAGATTTTTCTTGACGCCTGTAACAAAAACTGCACCTCAGAGGTACAGCTATGACTGTGTATGGTCTTTCTTGGTAGTATTTGGTGTCTCTAAACTTTTATTTCGGTGATGGATCGTGCATAATATGCAGTGTTTGAGAGGTCCAAGTTTAGGCATCTGTTGATTTCAGTGCTGTGGGACAGGCGCTAGTGTCTTGTACTGGTTATGCAGCAGGGGTACATTGATGTAAGGAGCGCCCCCTAAGCACTGGGCTTAGGGGAGCTTGTTTTGATATTTAAAAATTTGAGATCACAATTCCACCCAAGCTGACAGGAGCGAAAAGTGCACTTGGTCCTGGGAGTAAGTGTCTGATAGATTGTCTCCAGTAGCTGCTCTAATAGGTGGTAGGGAGAATTGTGTGCATTTCTTCTGAATGCAAAAAAACTTTTGAAACTCCTGAGGGCAACAGGAGTTGCCACCAACCTGGCCTTTTTGGGCGCTTTCTTTCTCTCTCAGTATAGTTTGAAGGGAAAACTTGGCAACGGTGTTTTTATTGTAGCTAGCACACATCTTGAGCAGAAGAGCCTACTGAGATACTGAGAAGTGTATTGGGAGACAGAACAGTGGTGAAATTTGTACTCCCGTGCCTGTGCTGTGCCAATCTTCTATTCCAGTAGCAGCAAACTTAAGCTTGTGTTAGGCAACTAGAAAGGAATGTTTATCCTTGTATAATTTTCTTTATACAAGGTCACTTTATAAGCAGAAAACTACTTGTTTGAAAAAATTGAATGTATTTTTTTTCTTTTTGGGGCTGCATGTAAGGGGAGAGGAAAGTTAGTAGGTATTCAGAGTCCCAACCTCATGGAACCAAGAGAAATGGATTTTGTTTCATCCTTCTCCTCAGTGTTTCTTACTGGCTGACTTGCGTCCTCTCTTCTCTCCCTTACCACACTGAATGCTCTTTGCTCCGTTTACTGTCTAGGGAAATTTAGCTAATAGTGCAAGTTAAGGAATCGTGTTCCTGGACTTCTCTAGGCACTGTGATACTTCAGTCCTTTTTAAATTCTGCTTCTTGAGCCGTCAACATTGTTGAATGCGTAGGGCTCTAGCAGAATTTGTAACATCCAAATTGGTTGCATGGATTCCACGCTTAGTGCTCAGAAGAAGTTCTGTGAAAATGAGCATGCTGGGCAGAAAGAAATAACAAGGATAGGAACGTGAGTGCACTTCTGCCTCTTTTTGGAGTTGTGGACCACTAGCCTGTATTACCGAGAGCTGCCTATCTCCGTTTTGGTTTCACAACTCTGAGCAAGATCCTGGAAACAGAACCTAGGAAGCGCTTCAGTTTTGTGGACAGGAGCTTTCCTTTCAAAAGATAGCTGGAAGAGAAAAGGATGTCCTAATTCCATGTGTTCCTCAGTGGTTAGAGGGTTTGTCCAGGAACTGGAGAGCTGGGCTAGTTCCTTTTTACTGCGTGACAGGGTTTGAGTCTGCGTTTGAGTACTGTCTAAGCAGTATGCTCAACACCAGTTGGGAGAGCGTTTGGAACCGTGGCTCTGCTTGGTTAGCTGTAGGAGCTAGTGTGCTCTATTGGAATGTCACAGGATAACCTTATGCCAGGAAAGCATCTAGAGTACATCTCTCTTGAGTCCGCTAGGACCTTTGGACAGATTTTAATCTCCCTCTCTTCTCATTTGTGTACTTTTATTCAG